CCAGTGTGGCGTACATGAGGCCTCCAGGGGCTGAGCTGTGACTGCAGCTGTGACTCTCCTCTGCTGGTGCCTGTGTGGGTAACGGTGCCTCCCACACAGGCTCTGCTGGTGTGTTTTCCACGCTGTTCCCCATCAAGAAGCCAGACAGAGACCAAGGGTCAATGAGCAGAGGCAGAGACAAAGGCTGGTTGGTAGAAACAGGCAGGTGTTCTTTATTTCACGTGGCACAGCATCAGGCAGACAACCCAAGGAAGCGTTTCTAACAATAAACCACAGCGAGTGCTCCCAGGATCTGCCCCCAACCAAGGGCTCTCCTGCCAGCAGCAGCACCGAGAGGTCCCTCCCTGCCCACCCAGCTCCTCCAAAGCGTCCTCTGTGAGGAGACTCAGCTCATCCAGCCCCCTCCAGCCACTGCCAAAACACGGCAGGACGAGCTCTGCCAAAGCAGGGACAGGATGAGCTCTGCCAAAGCAGGGTCACCTCCCCGCTGGTGGTTGGGAGAGGGGAGGGACGTGGTTGGAGCCCAGGCGTGAGGAAAGGCTGGTGGAAGGAAGAGCTGAAGCTGTCAAAGCCCTGGGATATAACTTTTTGTTATTATCTACAGGTTATTCTTTCGAGATAGACTATTTTTATCTTTCTAAATTAAGAAAATAAACATTTATTAACAAGCCAAGGGTCGAATCCTGCTCTGCAGGGAAGCCGAGCGCGTGGGCTGCGGGGGGAGGGAGCCCCTTGTAAACAAGGAAAGGCAAATCTGGCCCTTTGATGTCCTGCAAAGTCTGCTCGTGCCCACGAAACACCCGATCCAGGGGGGGACAAACTGCTGCCAGCTCCTCTGGAGCCACCAGGGGAGTGTCACCCAGACACGGCAGAGGAGCAAGGAGAAGGAACCGGATGGGGAGTGCTGCCCTAAAAAAGATTCAATCCGTGTTTCCATGGATCATGTGCACGTTTCCTTCCTTCCCAAGCAACCACCAGCAGCTCTGGTGACCACACACGGCCAGCGAGACCAGAAGGAACCAGCTCCTCCTCCTCCTCCTCTGCAGTCCTCACCTTCATCCCTTTGGATGCTCCTCTGCCTCCTGCCGCACGGAGAGAGGGGACTAGAGGTGAGGAAAACCTGGGGGGGGGGGTCTCACTCTTGGCCTCTCCAAACCCCCAGTGGGTGCTTTTAGATACACAGAACGATACGTTTTTGGGTGCGTTTCACCACTTTTATTTCACTATGCAGAAACATACATTCACCATGTGTGGGGATGCAGCTGACAGGGGGGCGGGACGCGATCCCTCCGGCGGGCGTTAGAGCTGGACGCTAACGAGCTTTCAGTGGACGTTCTGTACAGGTTAAGGCTTGGCTCTGAACTAGATTCTCAAACAGATAAGTCTTTTTTTTTTTTTTAATTTATTTTCATTTTTTTTTTTTTGTCTTTTTTTTGTTCGTTTTTCATTTATTTATTCATTTCTTCCTCTGAAAACAAAAGGGAAATCAATAGAAAACCCATTCACGGTTATTTCAGGTGAATCATTTTCTAACGCTGCAAACTAAGTAAAATACAGATTTATTTATTTTTATTTTTTCTCTCTTTTTTTGTTTTACTTCTTCCTTCAAAATAACTACACATCATTTACAAGGTTAGGCTCTGTGAAGGGTACAGGGGAGCTGACTCTGAACGACGCCCGACGGAAGCCGTTGGAAGTTAACAGACTAAAACCTCCCTCCGAAGGCGTTCGCTCAGGAACACACTTTGTAAGCATCTGAAATATTCTGAGGAGAGAGATTTGTCACCTTTTTTTTTATCCCCGGGGCAGGAAGGAAACCAGATGAAACAGAAGATTGGAGTCGTTGACTGGATTAACTGTGTTATTGGCACATCTAACGTGTGGTAGAACGTTACACACAGGACCTCTAACAGCTTCTAGCGTCTTTGTGGGGAGGGGGGGGGGGGAAATCTTCATTTACAGTATCTGTAAACAAAAGGCTTTGCCACCTAATAACTCGTTTAGACTTTCAGAAACTGTGAAAGGCATGAGCTGTTTATGTGTTACATGAGATCACCGTTTATATTCTGGATGAACGTGCAGGTTCTAGCGGAGACTTGGTTTTTTTTTTTAAGAAAATTAAAAATGCTGCTTTTCTGTTGATTTTTTTTTGTTTGTTTTACCGTCGCTTCATGCAATATGGTTTAGCTGCTGCTGATTCGGACTGAGCTCTACGGGGAGGTGTCTCTGCCAAGGGTCTTTTGAGGACCCGCCGAGGTCCTAAATCCACAGGATTCTCCCTGGGCAGGTGCAAGTCGGTTGGGCCGGGAGGCTCCGCGTGGGCTCTGGCGCTCCCCCGGGGTCCTGCGCCATCCGGGTCACTCCTGAGGGGGACAGAACCCACCCTGTTACCCCCAGCGACGGCTCCTCCTGCACCAGGGGCTCTTGGTGGGAAGGGGGAGAGTCCCCTGGGTGAGAGGCTTGGCCCAAACTCAACATCTGCTGAGGCCAAGGGGAGGAGTCAGTGAGGCCGGCGGGCTCCCGAGCGAGCCGCCCCGCGCTGCCTCTGCAGCTGGCAGCAGAGCTCCACCAGAATCAGCTCCTCGCTCCCCAGGGGCTGCTCCCCATGAAGAACAGACACTGAAATCCCTTTATTTCAGGATTTCTCTCCTGGCAGAGCGGTGAGGTGTTGGCCCAGGCTGTCCAAGGAGGTGCTGGAGTCGCCAGCCCCAGAGGGGTTCCAAAAAGGTGTGGACGTGGCACTTCAGGACGTGGTTTAGTGGTCGTGGGAGTGTTGGGTGGATGGTTGGACATGAGGAGCTTAGAGACCTTCTCCAACCTCCATGATTCTATGAAATTCAGTCTTCTAGAATCACCGCATGGTTTGGGTGGGAAGGGACCTTTGAAAGGCCACCTCATCCAACCCCCCTGCAGGGAGCAGGGACATCCCCAGCTAGAGCAGGGTGCTCAGAGTTCCAACCGCCCCTGGGATGGTTCCAGGGAGGGGGCAGCGACCACCTCTCTGGGCAGCCTGGGCCAGGGGCTCACCACCTTCAGTGTAAACAATTTTCTTTAGGGTCTGAATGGCCAGGAGCAGGAGAGCAGAGCAGCCTGGGGGGTGCTGTGTGCTCAGCTCCACTGCTGACACCCCCCAACAGACACCGGCCGGGGCCCGAGGCGCTGCCGTGGAGAGGAGCAAACCCCAGCAGCAGCTTCTCCTCCCCTCTCTGCACACAGCATCCCCAGCAGCAGCTCAGCAGACAGGGAATAAACACAGACTTAGGACTGGGCTCAGGCAGCCAGGACAGGAGCATGCCTCTGCTGGGCACCAGGGAAGCTGCACCATCATCTCCTCCCCAGAAACGATGCTGCTTTGGGACAGGAGGGGAAGCCAAGGCAGCCAAACCCCAACGTGCCAGCTCGCTGGGTTGGAAACTAAAATCCAAAGCAAGTGCCTTTGCAGGTTAGGAATTAAAGCTTAACTTGTCACAGATCTGCACGGGCCAGTCAAAAAGCAGCTGGAGGTTCTCCCCTCGGCAGTGTTAAACCAAACACACACCTTTAAGAACAAATGAGCTTTGTTCTTAAACGACAGAAAAGCAGACAGCAGAGTTTAGTTTTGGTTTGCTTCAGAATTAGAACACGAGACTCTGTCAAAGCACGGACAACGAGGACTCCCCAGAGAGCAGAACAAAAGCAAATCAGCCACTTCTCTTTCTCCAGCTGGCACCAGGGAGTGGGAAAAGGGGTTTGGAGGGGAACATGGGTCCCACCCGAGCAGCACCCGGCCAAGGGCCACTCCCAGGTAATGCCAGTGAGAGAAAGCAAAGAGTTAAGAGGTGAGGGATGGTGGGAGCCCAGCATCTGCAACATGCCAGCCAGGTCAATGCCTAGGAAAATCATCTCGTCCTCTTACCTGTGGTCAATCCTCCCCATCTTCTGGTGTGATTTCTGTCTCTTTATGTACCACTACTTTGGTCACTGACATGTCAGGGTGCTGCTCTTTGGCTTCTTTAATTGCCTGAGCCAGCGCCTATCCCAAGGAAACCACAGGAGGGCAAAAACAAACAAAAAAAAGGAGGTGGAACATGCATGATCAGTAGCCAGGTGGAGAGATTCGTGAGAAATTAACACAATTTACACACGAGGAAAAGGATTCAAACACGACCCACACCACCAGGGATCTCACCACCAGCCCGGCCTCAGCTGAGGCCAGGATCTTGTCAAACAAAGCTCAGAGGAACAATTCTCTCTGGCAGGTTTCAGGGCAGCCTGCTGGGAGATCTTACCTGGTCGTGGTCGATGTCTGCATCTCCTGTGATGACTATTCTCTTCTCAATCCTTGTCTCTGAGATGCCTCCTTTCACAGTCTGGGTGGGAGGGACAAATGCAGGTCAGGAAATTCCTTCAGAGAACCTCACTACTCGTCCAGGGTAGGAAGCCAGGAGGGCTGGGAATGAACCTCCTGGAACAGCACGTGGTGGTGGGGGGACCACCCTGGGCTGCAAGCAGAGCAGCCCTGAAGTTGGCAGGCTCTGCATGGAGCAGATGACCTCCTGAGGTCCCTCCAACACAGGCAACTGAACGACTAGTCCATCTGCACACTCAGAATCACAGACTGGTGTGGGTGGGAAGGGACCTTTGGAGGTCATGATCCAACCCCCCTGCAGGGACAGGGACATCCCCAGCTAGAGCAGGGTGCTCAGAGTTGTGTCCAACCTCCCCTGGGATGGTTCCAGGGATGGGGCAGCGACCACCTCTCTGGGCAGCCTGGGACAGCATCTCACCACCCTCAGCAGCAAAAATTTCTCCCTTCTCTCTAGTCTAAATCTCCCTCTTTGAGTTTCAAACCTGACCTTGATGTCTGTATGTCAAAAAGGGAGATATTTATGGTAAAGAAGAGAATGGACATATGAGCAGCTTATATTAAGACCTCCTCCAGCCCCAGTAGAGGCTTCAGAAGGACATAGAGGGTGGTATTTGCCTCATTGAAGCCCTGAAGTTAAACTGAAGGTAAAGGAAAGTAACACCCTTGTGAGAAAGGAGCTCCCTGTGCCCTGCAGACTCACTTTGGTGATGTGGGTGGTGGTCGTGGTGCTGGTGGTCTCTGAGGTGATCGTCTGGGCGCTCATCAGCACCCCTGGTTCTGAGTCAGCACTGCAGTCCACCTAGGGAGCCAGCAGAGAAACCAGCCCTCAGAGATGCTCCTCAGCACGGCCTGCCCTGCCTGGGCATCCCTGCTGCTGCCAGGGTCCCACTCTCAACTGGGAGGAAGGTGACCACGCGTCTCTCTGCCTCTGGAGACCCTTCCCTTCCCTTCTGGAAGGAGAGATGAGAAGCTGGGGCTCTGCCATCTGTGGTTTCATCAACATCCTTGAAAGCTCCTACACCAGGACGTGAAGCTCACCCTTAGGCACGTCCTCCTCCAGCTCCTGTTTGGTACCTGACCAACTCACAACAGTTTCCACCAAGGCGTAGGTTGGGAGCTGGGTGGAGAAAGGTGGCTCCTGAAGGTGCTGCAGCAGCCCCTGACCTCTGGCAGAGCCTCTTACCTGAGAGGACTCGTAGGTGATGGTTTTTGTTTCAGTGTGGACGACTGGCACTTCCTTGGTGGAGATCTCCAGGCTTTCCCCACCAGCAGGAAGGCTGCTGAAGCTGATGGTCTCCGTCTTCACCACCGGCGACTGGGGGGAGGAGAAAGAGAGGGGACTGGAACACCCAGCAAAGCAAAGGATGTCTCACAATGTGGTTTTTTTTTTGCTTGGGGGTCCTGGTTTTGGGTGGAACAAAGATAATTTTCCTCCTGGCAGGTGGGGCAGTGCTGGGGTTTGGGTCTGAGAACACTCTGATGGTTTCGTTGCTGATGCTAAGGAGAGGACTTCTCAGCTTCTCAGGAGAAGCTGGAGGGGACACAGCCAGGACAGATGACCCAAACTGGCCAGAGGGCTACTCCAGAGCACACAGAGAAGGGCTCCAGCCCACACCAGGGGACACCCCATCCCCTGTGACACCAAGCTCCCTGTGCAAACTGGGGGGACTGGGACAGGGGGCACCACGGCTCAGGAACCCACCTTGGTCAGTGGTGCTGAGCAACTGGTCTGTGCATCACTTGTTCTGCCTATTCCCTTCCTAGTATTATTATTATTATTATTATTAT